TGCAGATGGATGGCAGGAATCCGGAGTAGCTCAAGTTTGGGACGATAGCTATGACTGGAATCAATCCTTTGGGAGTTGGACCCAGTATAGGGAAGATAACTTGTAGAACCCCCGTTTGGCTTAAGACTGCTTTTACCGTTTTGGTGCAGGAGGGGGGGGGGTATTGGTGCACGGCTGGTGCGCGGAAAAGGAAAATAGGGGCAAGGGTGGGTCTGGGGAGGGAAAAATAGGTGCGGGAGTGGGTTCTTGCCAATCTATGGATCCAGTCAGGATCCCGTCGGGACCCAGTCGGGCACCAATTTTTGCATTTTTGGGCACCGCTTTTGGCCAGTCGGGATCCAGTCGGGATCCAGTCGGGATCCAGTCGGGATCCAGTCGGGATCCAGTCGGGATCCAGTCGGGCACCAATGTCGGGAGGCAGCCAAATTCATTAAAAATAGCATTTTTGCAGTGTTTTTGCATGTTTTTCGGTGATTTTGGCTGCTTCCCGACAGGTCCAAACGTGGTGCCAAAAATTCGAAAATTGGTGCCCGACTGGATCCCGACTGGATCCCGACTGGATCCCGACTGGCCAAAAGCGGTGCCCAAAAATGCAAAAATTGGTGCCCGATTGGGTCCCGACTGGGTCCCGACTGGGTCCCGACTGGATCCCGACCCGGTTTCTTCAAAAAAACACCTATTTCCTTAAATTTGAGCACCTATTTTTGAAATTTTAGCACCTTGCCGTGCACCACCCCTTCCCTCCGTTTCCCCCTCCGGACCCCCCCCCCCACCAGTCTTAAGCCAAACACGGGCTTGGCAAAAGATAACCCCCAACTTGGTTTGGAAAATGCACCTGATGGAAACGGAAACGAACAGACAGTTGGAAGTTTGATTTTTGCACCGATGCTGCATGTGATGTCAGAAACAAACGCAAACGATTGTCAGACATGTGTTATTTGCGCAAGAGATGTTTTGGGAAACAGTTTGGAGTTTTATGATGATCAATTTCTTCAGGAGGACGATCCATGTTTGGCTGACGATGCAAACATGTCCAAGATCATGGATCAACTTACTTTTCCTCACTCTGCCAAAGAACCTGAACTCAGTGCCGATGAGCTCTTGCGTTTGGATGCATTGGCAGACCAGCTTGAACTTCAGAGGCTGGAGCGTTTGCAGGCTCTACAAAGCCCTGATGCAGTGCCATCTACTTCAAAAGTTTTGAGCACTCGATTTGTGCGCACTTGGCGCGAGAAGCACAATTCAAAGGGCGAGGCAATATGGCTGAGGAGATCAAGGTTTGTTGCTCGCGAGTTTGCTTGGTTGGAACCCGAAAGAGAAAGCCTATCCAGTCCAGCGTCTGGCAGTATCATTTCCAGAGTTTTGCCAACAGTTTTCTTGGAGAGACGTGAAAAGGAAAACATGGTGATGGCCAGCTTGGACGTGAGAGATGCTTTTCTGACTGTGAAACAAGAAAGAGATACCTTGGTCCATACAACAGATGCAAGTGGAACAACTCGCAGTTTTTCTTTGTGGAAGGTGCTGCCTGGACAGCGTGATGGAAGCTTTCTGTGGTATCGTGCAATCACTAGCTTCCTCAAATCAAAGCTTGACTTGGAGGAGCACACCCCATATCCTTGCATTCTTCGTTCAAAAGATGGATCTTGCGTGGTGATGATACATGCTGACGATTTGCTTGTGGTTGGAAAGCGTGACTATGTGTTGGGCAAGTTCCTGCCGGAGCTCAAAGCTGCATATGATACTTCAGTTCAATGCATTGAGAAGCCAGGTGATGAGCTGACATTTTTGAAACGACAGTATACACTTCATGATGATGGAAGATTGGCAACTCAAACGCATGAGAAGCACATCACCCAGCTTTGCAGTTTGCTTGGATTGAATGTTCGAAACCAGAATAAGAAAAGCCCTGCACATGCTGATATGTTTAACGTACTTGTTTCGTTTATGTTTTACGGGGAACTTTCAGATCTGTGTTTTCCTTGAAACATTTTGGCTCAAGCGTACTTCAATCTTCTGGTGCGTTTGTTATGCGTTTTGCTTTATTAAAAAAAAACAACTCAAACACCAACAGCTGGTATCCACTTTTAGACATGCACATTTTACACCGAATCAACTGCATTGGTTTTCAGCTTTGATTGCGATTTTTCACTAGCTTTGGTTGGGGTTGCACTTCCATTCATCTTTTTAGATTCTCACTTCTTTCCTGTCGGCCCGGGGGGCGAGCGATGCGACGTGACAGACGTCGGGACCCGGAGTGGACTGAAGTCCTGGCATCACCAGTTCGTGCTGAGCTGTGCACCATCATCGTTTCCTTTTTGTATGATCAACATTCTCCTGTTCGGGACTTGCCTGTTGATATCATTTATCTTAGCTGGAGTTCAAATCGCATTTTTTCCTTCACCCTGCGTTTCAGAGAGATCACTACTCCATCAGTGGCCGATCATGGAGACTCAGATGACAACAGATGATGGCTGGGACCTCATTGCAGATGACATTTTTTCAGATTTCGTGCAGCCCTCAACCAAAGCATGCCCTTTGCCAAGACCTCAACATGTTTTGCAACCACGACTTCAAGCACCTTTCAGTATGACCATGCCAGGCATGCCAGTTTCATTGAGTTCAAGTCCACGCTTAACAGTAGCAGGGCTCTCAGCAGCCACTCCTCAAGGAGTTCCGGCTTTTGCACCTGTGCGCAGGGATTTGTTGCACCATGTTTCACGTGTGGAGTCTCCATACGTCAGGGTTCCTCGTGATGAATATTACCCTAAAAGTTTGGAGCGAGTTTCACAAGTTGGAAATGTCCCGGTTGACATGGCACCACATGGAGGTTTTGGGAGGACAGCTTTGTGTCCCAGTACGGAAAAGGCCTTACCTTGTCCACCGTTGCAGAAGGATGGCATTCCAAAGGTGCCCACATCGAGAGTCCAGACCTCAACAGCTATGCAATTGACGCGTTCAAAAATGACAAGTGAGAACACTTTCATATTGGATAGGTTTGCGGCTCTTTTGGATGTTTTTGGGCAATCGTCCGATGTTTACAGAGCACTGGCCACCTCTCCATATGCAGCTGAACACCGCAAAAGGCTTCTGAATAACTATGCAGCAACGACCGTGCTCAGATATTTACAGGCGGTTCAGAAATTTATCACGGTAGCCCAGCAGCTGGGGCTGGACATTCATAACTGGTCGGGGGCTCAACTTGCAGACGTTTTGACAGTGATGAAACTGTCCAAATCTTGCGACACAGACAAAGATGTCACTTCTGGCAACTTCACTATTAAAGCACTTCGATGGTGGCACAAAGTGGCAGGTGTCCAAAATTTACAGGTTTGTTTTCCCCCACTGGTGGATAGCTTCCTGAAGACCAAGCTGAGCAAGGACAAACGAGAGGCACCTCCTCTCCCTCTGTGGTTGTTATTTCAATGGGAGCGTCGAATCCTTCAGAGCGCATCGACAAAATATGAAATTATGATGTTAGGTTCATTCCTACTGATCACTTGGTCAGGACTTAGGTTTGCTGACGCTCAGAGAATGAATGTGGATTCATTGGTGTTCAACTTTCAGGAACTCAGAGGCATGGTTTGGCGATCAAAAACCATGGCGGCAGGACATCCTTTTGGTGTTAAGGCTTCTGGGCTTTGCAGCTTGGGGACATTCACATGGCTTTACAAATTTTTGAAGACTTGGGATGAAGTTATGCATGAGTTGCAGATTCCACGGACGCGCTGTGACTTTTTGATTCCAACAATGTCTCCGGATGGATCATTTCCGATCTTTGAACCTTTGGATTATGCAGGTACTACAAAATTTTTTCGGGACATGTTGCTGACGCCATGGAAGAGTTGGCAAGGTTCACACCCGTTGGACAAGCTTCAGATGCAATACACGCTTCACTCAATGAAAGCGACCTTGCTGAGTTTTGGCCCCCAACTGGGATCCCTGGTCAGTGACTCAGATCGCCTTTTGCAAGGGCACCATCAGGATCCCAAACGATCATTGAATTTGTATGGACGTGATAGCGTCTGGGGTTCATTGCGTTATCAACAGACGGTTATTACAGAGATTCAAAATGGTTGGAGGCCAAAAACGGCCCAACACAGAGGTGGACAGTTTCCAATGGTCGAACCAGTAGTCACTTTGGAAAAGTTCAAGAAGAACGCTCCTGACTACAATTTTTTGTGGTTACCCTTTGCCAAACAAGTGGAACCCCAAGAGCTGGTGCCTGAGCACACAACCGTGGATGGGGGATCGGAATCTGAATCCGATGGCAGTTCCAGTTCAAGCGACAGTGCCAGCTCCTCAGGGGACACATCTCCTGTGGGAAAAGTGCCTCCCAAGGAGGTTCCGGAAACGGATGAAGCCATTTATGCAAAACATCGCAGGGTCACACATGCCATGGTCATTGCAAATGATGGAAACTCATCCAGACCGTTTCATTTGGACCATTACTGGAGAGCGGCATGTGGCGCTCACATGCTCCATACAGAGACAACTTTTTTGGACGACTGGCAAGAAGGAATGGCATTTTGCCAACATGCAGGATGCAAGAAAATTTGGACGGCCATAAAGTTGAGCTGAATTTGCGTGCCAACCGAAGGTTGAAAATAAAGTTGCAGCGTGTGACAAATTGACCCTCATGACAGAGGGTATTCTGAATGCGTTGCTTCAGCATGTTCAACATATCACATGTGGGAACAACATAATTGACATTCAATATCATATGCATCGCGCTGGCTCAAAATTGTTGTTTTCTGTTCCGCAGCCATTTCAAAAAAAACACTTAAAAAAAAAAACAACGTGAGGGGTTGGATTTTCCTGAGGACATCCATTGCCCTCCTGTGCAGATCTCAGTCTCCTGTCATTTTTTGTTTATCAGCGTGTATTGAAACATCACATGCAGAGCATTGTTGTACCCACATTCCAAGGTTGTATCCAATGGTCATTTTTGCATTCATTTCCTTGATATACATCATCACTTCATCGCGTTGCAGCGTTGCATCATGGCGTATCAAAGTCTGGAAGACATCATGTCCACATGTGGCGTGGACCCAACAATAGCATCACAGCTGGTGCAAGATGGATGGACAACTCAGTCCTTTGCGTGTGCAGCCTTAGACCTTGAGTCTTTTGACAGGCTTTGGCAGGATCTTTTTGCTGATACGGAACTCAGTTTGCTTCAAAAGGCATCAGTGCGTGCAGCGTTCAAAATGTGTCAATCAGCTTTGCAGTCAGTGGCGGCTCCGTCAGCCCCATCATCTGCGTCCGCATCAGGTGACCCCATGACCAGCCAAAATTCATGGGCCGAAAGTTTCCCTCCAAAGTTGGATTCATCAGTGATTGACCAGTTGAAAGTGATTGACCAGTTGAAAGCCAAATTTTTGGCTAGTTACCCGTCAGAGTTGGTAAACCATGACACCATGCCAAGCACGAGACTCCTCAGCCTTGTTCACCACCAGCTTCTGAAGAAGCAATGGGCCTGGATTCCTTGGAAATACAGGCTAACGATGGCTAAAGCTGATGAGATTTCCTCCCAGCGGCAAACCAAGATGCCCAAATTGGAAGTGGCTTCATTGCATAACCTGTTGGTTGATGAACCTCCCTCAATAGATATTTCCAATTCAGGTTTTGGGGTCAATGCGGTACGAAATTTGCTGGCAGTCCATGACATGGCAGTTGCAATGTGTGGAGGTGCACACCTGGCAAATCTAAAGGCTTACTCGGCCAAATTTCTGGGCTTCTTGACGCAGAAGGTGGATCCGGAAACCATGTTGAGGTGTGCATCCATTACTGAAGCGCAGGCTGCAGATAGACAGATTTGGGCATCAATAGCAGATTTAATGGCTGAACGCAACTGGGACATGGACAATTGTCTGCATGAGTTCACTCATATTCGTCATGATTTGCCAGGTTTGTTGCAGCTCCGTCCACGTCCAGCCAAAGCCCAGTCCTCATCTCAACCTTGGACTGTTCCTGCATCGAATAAAGGTAAAGGCAAAGGCAAACCATCGAAAGGCAAAGGCAAATCAAAGGGCAAAGGGAAAGTGCAATGGCTGACTGATGTAAAGACAAAGGACGGCCAGTGGAAGCAGTTGTGTATGAGATACCAAACAGGTAATTGTTCCCTTGGTGACAACTGCCGTTTCCAACATGGATGTGCATATCCGGTCAACGGCCAAGCCTGCGGCCTTGACCATGGCGCCCTTCAGCATCAAAACACATCACACTGACTTTCACAGCAGGAACCGGAAGTGCAGGAAGTTGCCATGACGACAGGCTCCATTATTCCAGCACCAGCAGCGACAGCGTCCTCGGCAATATCTTTAAAAGATGTTTCGGAGGCTCAGGTTTCACCTCCCGGTTCCTCCGGGGAGGCAGCAGTATCACCAGTTTCACCAACAGTTCTTTCACCATCTCATCCAGTGTTTCACACAGGTGACGGCAAGATATTTTTAGATATTTGCTCGGGAGCAACACGGCCATTGAGTAAAGCCATTTTGGCACAACATGGTGATGTCTTAGCCTTTGATATTCTTCTGGACTCAAGGATGGATTTGTTAAATGACCAGAGCTATGAGCAGCTCTTGAGGATCTGCTCATCGGGCCAGGTGGCATACGGAGCTGCTTCTCCTTCATGCGCTCACTACTCTCGACTGAAACTGCATCGACCTGGTCCTAAAGCCTTGAGGACACCGGAAGCCCTGCAAGGTGTCCCTGGATTGACAAGTGCGGAGCTTCTTCAGGTACAAGATTCACATATGATGCTTTTTCGATGTGTAACTTGCTTAACATTGATTTATCAAGCAGGAGGTCATGCCCACCTGGAGCAACCTCCGTCAGCTATGAGTTGGTTGGAAGATTGTGTCAAAGCTTTTTTGACTCTGATTTCGGCCTGGTGCGTGGTTATTTCTGCTTGCGCATATGGCAAGAACTGGTACAAACAATGGATGTTTGCGAGTAGCTGGCAAAAAATTGCCGAACTGGGCCACCTCTGTGATCACCCTAAAGGGAGCCATGTATCTTTGGTTGGAACCGTGTCTGACACAGGTGAATATCTGAGTAGACAAACAGCTTGCTACCCGGAGGATCTGGCTACAGCCTTTGCGGAGCGGGTGGCACCTCTGGTGAGTCATTCATCGCACGACTGGAAATGGGATGATATCTCTCAGATTCCGCCCTTGAAAACCATCCACCAACCCCCTTTTGGACAAGAAGATGGTGGTGGATTTACATCTAACCCTGACTGGAGTTTGGGTGAGCGAGTGGCCACGGACTTTTTCGGTCCTCTTCGACAGAAGTGGGTTCAACGCATTTTGGATAATCGGTTGGACAAGTTTTTAGTCCAATTCTTTTCGCAAACTGATCATTCTTCTCCACCGTTTGCAGAGAATATCATCACTCCTTTTCGCAATGACCTGGAACAATTTTTGCAGGATTCCGGCATCAACCCAGATTGGACTATCCGGGACCATCAACCTATGTGTTTGCACATTATGCATGGACTCTGCCAGATCATGCAAGACCCCGATCAGGCATTGTTTCCAGCGCTGATTGAGGGTGTGGGTACTGGTTTTCAACGGGATATTCCTTTGAGTAATTGCTTTCCTCTTAATGTTTCTGCGGATGCTGATGAGCCACCACTGTCGGCCCATTTGACGAACTGGCAGAGCGCTGACGATGATATCATGTTGACCAGACAGCTTGTACAACAGGAAATCGACAAAGGATGGGTGTTCCCATTTGAGGGTACTTTGCAGGATGCACAACAGCGATATCCATTGGGCGTTGCGCTGGGCAAACTTGGTATTGCCCACGCAGATGGGCGGCCTCCACGACTGGTCTTAGACCAAACAATCTGCGGCCTTAACGGGCGTTGTGTGATACCAGAGCGAAGTACGTTGCCATCCGCTAAGGATGTACTTCGTACATTTCCGATCCGAAACTATTCTGGGGATCACATGGGATTTTCGCTTGACATTAAAGCAGCTCACAAAAGAGTATGCATTCGGGAAGAAGAACATGGCCTTCTCGGATTTACGCTGCAAAATCAATTGTATTTTTACAGAGTGGCCCCTTTCGGGGCCACTTTCTCGGCCTCGTGGTGGTCTAGACTTGGCGGCTGGATGTTGAGGTTCTTCCACTTTTTGCTCTGGTGGGCACATGTGGCCCTACTGTACGTTGATGACTATTTGTTCCATCAATCCAGTTTTGGCATGCCAATCTCGGCTACTATGATTTGTCTGTTTTGTCAAATTGTCAATATTCCGGTTTCTTGGCAGAAATGTGAACTTGCATTCAGCATACAATGGATTGGCTGGAAAATCCATTTCCGTTCAGGTTTTATTGAGATACCAATGCAAAAGATTGACAAGTTTCTGGGCTATCTCCATTCTATGGGACGCAGCTCCAGGACTTCCAAGCGGAACCTTGAAAAACTGATTGCACTGGCACTTTGGCTGACTCAACTTTGGCCATATATGCGAATATGGATTCGACATTGGTATCATGATCTTTATTCCATTCCAGCAACACATTATAGCATTGACAATGGTGACTGGCGACAGTTCTCGAGTCATTTAGATGACAATCTACATATCATTTCTCGCCCTCAGGGGACAGCACTGCCAATTGGAGGCCAGTTACTGGCGGTTCGCCATCATACAGTCAAGACGAAATCGGATTTGACGACAGTTCCTCTCTCCAATAAACGAATTTGGCTTCGGATTCGAGATCCTTCTTCCACCAAGCGACATTTGTCTTCATCCAGTTTACGAATTATACAACATTTCATACAATGGGTCACAGGCCTGTCTCCTATGAAACCCTTAACCCCAAAAAAGTATTGGGATGGCGAAGCAGCAGCTGATGCGTGTGCTTCTGGCAGTACATGCGAAATTGGAGGCTTCGTCAAATCAGCTACAGGCCAAATTTACTGGTTTTCGGAGATTTATTCACATTCAGATTTTACTCAACTGGGCATCGAACTGGATGCAGAAATGCAGCGATCTATTTCAGCTTTTGAGACACTGGCTCAAATCGCTTTACTTTTTGCGACTTCCAAATTTTTTCCTGCGCATAGAATGCCCATTTGCTTGAAGAGCCTCAGTGACAACAGTGGGGCCGAATCCGGTAGCAATAAACTTTGGAGTATGACATATCCTCTATCAATTTTTCTTGAACGAATGTGCCTTCTGTCCGCGATGTTGGGGATGGAAATCGATGTCAATCATATCCCGGGCTCTCAAAACATTTTTGCAGATGATTTAAGCCGTTGGAACCAAACTGGATCACCACCTCATTCATTTCACTTGAAAGATCGCATCCGCATTCCTCTTGCAGAGCTATGGCAGATTCGCACTTCTCCAACCTTGATTCCGAAAGAAGCTTCCATACCATGGACATTACCTACTGTTTAATTCCTTTTTTCCTGATTGCTGGAATTCCCTCACTTTTCAATTGGGGTGTACTTGGCGAGTTGAATTCCCAGATAGTTAATTTAGGGGTTTAAGATCCATCTGTCAATTCAACCAAAGGTTCAACCAAATAAATTTGTTGGTTGGTGCCTCGAAGACAAATAATTCCAGCAAGCGAAAAAAGGAATATTAATTAAACCGAGCGTGACCACGTTTCAGCAAACCAGATGTATGGTTTTGGAGAAGAAGTTTGGTTTTTGAATAATAGACAAATTTAAGTTTGGTATATATATATATTAAGATATATATATATATTTGAAATAATCCAGAAGATTGAAGTCCTTGTAGAACGTTTAACGTACTTGTTTCGTTTATGTTTTACGGGGAACTTTCAGATCTGTGTTTTCCTTGAAACATTTTGGTTCAAGCGTACTTCAATCTTCTGGTGCGTTTGTTATGCGTTTTGCTTTATTTAAAAACCCACCCATCCCACACCTGGTTATTCTTGTTTTTATTATATTCACTATCATTTTATGTTGTTGCTTCTATGGCTTTACCTAATGATCTATCCAATGTTCTTGGAGTGGCTTCACCTGCTGTGCTCGTTTTGTACAGGGTAGTGATTCCACTTCGACCTCGGCCTGACTCAAAGCATTCGAAGCATCCGACCTGATCCCTCCATCCAGGAGGTTTTGCATCCGCCGTAGTTCCTGCTCCGTCACCGTCACTAGGTGTTCTGTTAGTCCCCACTTTTGCATGCTGCTCGGCTTTTCTCACAATATGTGAGTCATTTCTATTGACAGGGGGTTTAAGATCCATCTGTCAATTCAACCAAAGGTTCAACCAAATAAATTTGTTGGTTGGTGCCTCGAAGACAAATAATTCCAGCAAGCGAAAAAAGGAATATTAATTAAACCGAGCGTGACCACGTTTCAGCAAACCAGATGTATGGTTTTGGAGAAGAAGTTTGGTTTTTGAATAATAGACAAATTTAAGTTTGGTATATATATATATTAAGATATATATATATTTGAAATAATCCAGAAGATTGAAGTCCTTGTAGAACTGAAAAGGAAGATGACACAGCAGACCTTTCATCTTCATCAGCCACGACTTTTAGGACGTGTGTTGGTGTTTTGATGTATCTGGCGAATGATGTTCCACAAGCTCAACATGTCATTCGACATTTGGCCACCTACAGTTTAAAACCCACTGAAAAGAGCCTGACAGTATTTCGACATTTGGTGGGATATCTTTGCAGCCACATGGACGTTTGCGTGTCTTTGAAATGGGGTGGTCAAGCAACTGGCATTTTCCATGACTATCCGAACGTGGATCCAAATGAACATGTTTTGGAGGTGTTCACTGACTCTGATTGGGCTTCAGACCGTGTCAGCAGAAGGTCTGTAAGCTGTTGCATTGTGATGTTTGGGAAGTGCTTGATATACTCAGCATCAAGGACTCAGAAGATCATTTCGTTGTCATCAGCTGAAGCCGAAGTTTACGCTTGCGGCAGTGGAGCCAGTGACGCCATCCTACTTGCCAGGTTGTTGACATGGATCACCAACAAAAG